GATGACCTACAGGACTGCTTTGAACAAACTAACTGGGACTTATTTCAACATCAGGAAATGGAAACATACACAGGAACAGTACTGGATTACATCAACTTCTGCATCGGAAATATGACTATGGTCAAAAACATTTGTGTTTACTCCAACCAGAAACCATGGATGACCAGCCAGGTTCGCACACTCCTCAGAGCCCATGACGCTGCCTTCAGGTCAGGTGACAGAGCTCTGTACCGAGCTGCTCGAGCCAACCTGAATAAGGGAATAAAAACAGCAAAGGCTGACCATAAAAGGAATATAGAGTCCCATCTGTCCAGCAACAACTCACGGGAGGTGTGGAAGGGCATAAAAAACATCACTAACTATAGAGGCTGTGAGGTGACAACAGGAGACCTGAGTGCATCACTAGCAGAGGAGCTAAACTGCTTCTTTGCACGCTTTGATGCACCACAGCAGCACCCATCTGATCCTGCCCTGCTCCCACACCCACCCGGTTACTGCACCACTCCACTCACTGTACGGGAGCATGATGTTAGACGTTCCCTCCAATCAGTGAACCCCAGGAAAGTTACTGGCCCAGATGGAGTACCTGGCAGGGTGCTCAAAGCATGTGCCCTCCAGCTCGCCCCCACCTTCACCAGAATTTTCAATCTCTCCCTGGCCCAGGCTGTCATCCCTCCCTGCTTAAAATCTGCAACCATCATCCCAGTGCCGAAAACGCCTACCATCACCAGCCTGAATGATTACCGACCGGTGGCTCTCACCCCGGTAATCATGAAGTGCTTCAAGAGACTGGTTCTCCAGCACATCAAGGACTTTCTCCCTCCGAACTTTGACCCCTACCAGTTTGCATATCGCACCAACAGGTCCACAGAGGATGCTATTGCAGTAGCTCTCCACACCGCGCTGAGCCACCTGGAACAACAGCACAGCTACGTTCGAATGCTCTTTGTGGATTACAGCTCGGCCTTTAACACAATCATTCCGGACATTCTTATAAATACATTGGACAATCTCGGCCTCCCCCCACTCACATGTGCCTGGATAAAAGACTTCCTAACCAATCGGCCCCAATCTGTAAGACTTGGTCCCCACCTCTCCTCCACTCGTACGCTGAGCACTGGCTCCCCACAGGGCTGTGTGCTGAGCCCCCTGCTGTACTGTCTCTACACCCATGACTGCAGCCCGGCCCACAACAACAACCTCATCGTCAAGTTCGCTGATGACACCACAGTGGTCAGACTAATCTCTAAGGGAGATGAGACATTTTACAGACAGGAGGTCCTGGAGCTAGCAACCTGGTGCTCAGAGAAAAATCTGGCTCTGAATATCAAAAAAACCAAGGAGGTAATTATTGATTTCAG